GGAACATAGGACGCGGGTAGCAGCGCTCCTCGACTCGTTCCTCTCACCTGCCTCGAATGTTCGGGTCTTGTCGAAATTTCCAACGCCTGCAGAAGGTACCGCGTAAAGCGACGAGAGCAAGCTTGTTGTCTCATTCGCCCATTCATCGTCATTAATCTCTAGCGGATAATTTAATGTCTGCTTGCCGCTCGCGCATAGCCTGCCTGCGGTTGAACGCGTCACGCAATTAGCGCGACCTCCGTGATATCGTACCTTGAAATTGTTCATCGACACCGCGAGTTCGACGGAAGGGGTTAACGCAGGGTTAATGCGGAATCGAAGCTACACAATTAAGGTTAGCGCACACGCGAAGCTGAAATCGCTGAACAGTGATTTCTGCTCGTTTGGCATCGTGTGTGTTTGAACAAGCTATGATACTGCGATATATCAAGCTGTCAAAATGACAGATTAGTCGAATAATTAACAGTCATAATGTGTACGCGTATGCAGACACGAAGCAAGCAGCTGGTAATCACTAACGAGCTTCGGCCCGGTGAATGTTACCCGACTTACTTCGTCTCGAAGCCAGGCGTGTGATTCCAGGAAGGAAGAAGGACCACCGCTATCCTGCTTCAATGTTTAGGTACAAAAGTTTCCTCGCGAAAGGAGCGAGTTGTCAACGAGGCGAGACACGTTCCGCTCGCGTCGCTGGAAGGAACAACATCTCAACGGCCGAGAAAACAACGAGATTTGCAACAATCGAGCTGCGAAAAACGGCGAGATGGCGAAACGCGCCGGCGTGCCGGCGCGGCGGTTGAGAATAATAATGCGCGCGGTGTATCATAGTCTGATCGATTTAATTGTTTCACAAAGTGACGCCCGGAGCCCGGAGTTGAGCCCGGCCGCTATCGCGAGCGTTGTGTGTATAAATTTCCGGGGGTGCGATCGTTATCGCGAACACGCGGCCAGGCGGCTCGGCGGCGCCGTGCTTTCTTTTTACAAACACGGCACACGCTAAATTTCGCCATTCCAGCCGATTCCGCCGCTCCGTTCGCTCACGAGAGAGCCGCGCGCGCGGCGCGGCGCGGCGCTTACGGATGTAATCGAGCATCTAGCGAAAGACCTTGACGAACGACATTGATAAACGATCCCTCAGTCGTGTTTCAACTAACCGACTCGACGGGATCGTATAACAAGTCCGTACTAACAAGTCCCGCGTATGCGCGCACGCTAGAGGGCGCGCGTGTTCGCGATCGCGCGCGCACACGTCCCTCCGCGAATTTTCCCTCGCATGATATGCACGCATCGCGTGAATTTTAAGCATCTCACCGGGAATTCGAAGTTATCGAGCGACGCGCGCGCGCGCGAGAGTAACTCTCGCGTAACGAGCGCGGGTGTAGTGCTGTGCGTGCGCGGTGACGTTACTCGAACCCTTGAACGCTGCTGAAATATTTTTGTCACCTCCTACCACCGGGGGACGTCTGAATGTGCTCACCCATAATTTTTTTATTATTTCTTTCGCGTGTATATAAGCCACAAATCTTTGGTAGAAATTTGTAGCCGCGTGTAGGACAGTTTTAAAGCATGTACGATTTTTTTTTCTTTTTTTTTTTTTTTTAGAAGAACAGCATTATAACCTGTCACTGTGAAAACGGTTTTTCCACCCGTAATTTTTTATATATTTTTTTTTTACGGTGTACTCGAACTATAAATATTTGGGAAAAAATTTGCAGCCATGTGTAAGACAGTTTTAAATCGTGTACGATTTTTTAGAAGAAGAGTTACAACTTTCACCGTGACGAAACTTCTTTTATTTCAGCATAAATGGTCTAAGATATATTACAGATGAACAGAAAATACGATCGGGTGAATTTTCACCCGTCCTAGTATTTGAGCGTTAATTGAAAACGTAGATCCGTGTAGATGCGATAAAATATACGCTGACAAAAAAAGGAGAACTCTTGCTTGTGGCGTCGGGCAGAGAGAAGTGACATCGTTGCGAGAGCCCGGCTCTCGCACTGACTCGCGCGAGAGAGAAACTTTCGAAAATCGGTCGTTGGTACCTCGTATTTTATGTACCTGTTTGAACCGCGCCTCTCGTTTCCGGCTAGGCAGTAACTGTCATTTTCTGAAATATCTCGGGACGGCTAACGGTGCTCGAGAAAGAGAGAGAGAGAGAGAGAGAGAGAGAGAGAGAGAGATTTTTCCATCCTTTGATTGTATCACCGCAGTTGAAGTGGGCATTTTTTTTCAACGAGTCGAGCGAATCGAAAAACGTTCGTTTCGACGAGAAACGGCGCTCGTAACTCTGGCGAGAGCGAGCGAAACCCATTTTTCTCGATTCTCGGTTAATCGTGCGAAGCGACGGCGAAACTGTCGATATGCGATTCGTCAGCAGCGAGATAATGTTGGATCAATTTGCCAATGAAATCGACACGAATGGCGCAGAGAGGCACACCTAGGCGCGCAAAGGCGGACTGTCGGCCATTTTCGTGATATCGCCCCTCAGGGGGATGAAACCCTTTTTAGGAATTTCCTCTTTCGCTCAGAGAACCGACCAACGCGATCGCGATAGCGAACAGACGCGTTTCTGTCGACGCGAGCTCTCGATTGAACAAGAAGCAAGTTTGCCCGAGAGGGAAAGTACCATTACTTCCGTCCATTGCCAGATAATAAAAATTAAGAGAGCATTAAGCATCAATAATCAGCGATCGGATGTGAAATATACACGCCAAATTCTTTAACACACGAACAAAAATTAATGGCACTTTCGATTTTCGAATTCGACCCTGAGAACCAGAAATGCTTCTTCGACCAGAACGCATTTGATGACTCGTTCGTCATCGCGACGTTGATTCGATCAGGTTCTTCCAGCGCCGTAGCTCAAGGAGTCCGAAATTGTAGTATTTTCAAAAAATCTGCATTGACCGACGACATTTGCTTTCCTTCCAAATCGCTCGTAGCCTTAAGGCTGCAGAGTACTCCGAAATCTAAGCTGCCAACTTCGTCGTCGTCTGAATACTTCGAGACGACCGACGACACTCGGAAACTCTCTCGACTTCATTTAGGTCGCCAAATCCGCCACTCCGGTGTAAACACAATGCGAAACGCGCTCCTAAGCGCGTAACGAGCTCGACTTTAAGCGCGTCGGGATCTCGAGTGTTCGATTTAGCGGCACGCGACGATAATCCCGAGGAGCCGCATTTCCCGCAGACGAATCGCTCTTAATAATTAATTCTGACAGTTATCGAGCGGAGTCCTCCTCCTCCAGGCTGCCTCTGCTCCACCCCCGAGGGCGAAGAACAGCAGTTTCGCGTTCGAGGGAACGATCGAGCCACAGCGGGGCGGGGGGGGGGGGGAATTACGCTGCTTCCTCGCCCTTCGGCTTTCCTCTCGCGGCGTTTCCATCGCGGTGGCGCGACTGAAAATGAAGCGGCGGCGCCGCGCGAGGAAATTTCGCGTGCGGGAAAGTGTCTGCCGCCGTTGGAATATTTAAATGGCAAGGGCTCTGCCCCAGCCACGTCCCGTAAGTGGCACTCTCGACTTTCCTAACCGTCTTTTACGCTTTCCGGTAAAGAAACAACGCGGCGCGGCGCGGCGCGGCGCGGCGACCCGACGATAAACCCGTTTCACCTCGATACTTCCTCGGCCGGTTGCGTGCGAGAGGGAATTTCCATTCTGTGTAAACAGCGGCCTCCTCCGGGTGCAGCGCGCCGCCGAAGTAGGTTGCTTATCGTGTTTCTTGAAATCGGTAAAGCTGCTAAATCGTATATTCCGCTTCTCGTTCTTTATACACCGAGCGGCCGAGATTTACGATTACCGGCGCCGCGCACCGGGGCGCGATTACGCGTACCTGGCGCGTTCGCCGGAAATTATTATCTCGAGATAACCGAGACGAAACGCGGCGAGTGAATTCAAACGGACACCTCCGGGCCGTCGTCGTAGACGCGTCGTTCGCGCGGAGCTACGCCGATTATTTGTAACCGCGCTCGAGTCCTCCTGCTTCCTATCGTTGGTTGACCCTTGAATTGAGACGGGTGAGAATTCACCCGGTGATGTTTCTTATCCTCCTGTTAGGATTTATAAGGCTCATAAAGCATTCTCAGACCAATTATGCTCGAATAAAACAAGTTTTTTTTTAACGCAGTGAGAGGTTATTATTTTTCCTTCGGAAAATTGTACGTGACACTTAAAACTGTTTTACACATCGCTACAAATTTTTGCCAGATATTTATATAATTCGTGTACACGCAAAAAGATGAAGAAAAAAGAATTATGAATGAAAATTCACTGGCAATAGGAAGTATAACAGAAACGTCCTAACATTCAAGGATCGATCGCAGCCTGCTAACCGCCATCTTAACACGTTGCAAATGTCGCATATAGTTGGGACATTCTATCCGACATTGAAGCGATCAATGAATAATACTTTTATGTTTCACATTAAATCATAATGTCCTAATTATTTAATTATTACTTACGTGAAGTCAAAATTTGTCGACTTTGAGACGATAGACCTAAAGACGGCGACTAAAACCATTTTATTTCATCCAAATAAAACTAGACATAAACGAAAATACACAAGATTTTCGTCTAAAACCTATAAAGAAACAAAATATCGAGATGCTGAGTAAATATAATTTATATAATGATAAGTTATACAATATACGCGGATGATGCTCCGTTTGGACCATCTGCATTGGTTTAAGGACTCGCCACTTGGAGTTTTTATTCTTCAACTTCACGACCCCAAAGTACATTTCAAATTGTTGTCGAAGAAACTCTTGCATTCCTTCAATTCTCCTTTCAACTCGGCCATGTTGCGAAAACCTCTGAATACCCAATTTCAGAGAGAAACGTCAAAGTACAACGGGGGGGGATATCGCAACACGCAGCATTTCCGCCAGTCAACGGGGGTTAAAGACGTCGATTCGCGTCACGTGCCGAGGAGCGCGCGAAACACGTCATCGTGTTACCTCACACGCCATTAACCGAAAGCTCGCTTTGCGTTTGTGTTGCAGGTGCGAGCTGCTATCAAGCCGACGAGCGGCCTGCTGCGGCGAGTGACGCGGCGTGCTGCGGCGTTTAAAACCCGGCGAGCCCGACGATACGAGAGATGAACGAATGACCGGGCCGACGCGGTGATCCATACGCGATGAGGCCGAAATCGTGCTCGCCGTTTCTGCTCTTCTGCGTGCTCCTGCCCGGAGTGGTGCGACCCTTCACGTCCGGCGAGGGTGAGTAGAGGAACGCCATTTCCGCCGTTACACGAGGAGCGAGCGAGCGAGCGAGCGAGAGAGAGAGAGAGAGAGCAGGAGTCGCAAGCCCGCGCGTCCGCGCTGGGCAAGAGAAGGAGAAAGAGAGGAGGAGGGCGGGGGGAGATCGTTAAGTCCGCCATTGAACTCGGTGTGCCGAGCCTATAATGACCTCTCAACCGGCGCTCATCTCCGCGGATTCGAGGAGCTGCCTCGGAGCATCCTCGCTCGAGGTGCTCGCGCCGCTCGAGTGCCACTTTACGCGAGTTCCGTGCTCGGACGCGAGAGCTCGTCGCGGCTCGGTCCGTTTGCTCGCGCGAGCGCGAGCGCGAGAGAGAGAGAGAGAGAGAGAGATTACTGTTAGTTAAGTTGCAAATTACCTCGTGTCGTTACGTCGTTGATGGAACGATCGTCGAGCGCGCGTTATTAGTTTGCCCGAGGCGCACGCTCTCGGGCGCGCTCTCGTCGAGGCGTCTCTCTTTCTTCCTCGCGTTTCGCCCTGCCGTTTCGCGAAAGCACGAGCGCCGAGGTCTCTCCTAATGAAATCCGCGGGAAAGGCTCGCGTCACGGTGAGCAGCGCGTTTGCTGGTGCGCGTCGCGAGACGACCAGCGGCCGACGAGCTCTCTCGTCGGCTCGTCGGCAGGTCGTGATGCGCCTCGTGACTCGAGGATTCCGCTAACGATCGCGAGCTCCGAAACGGTGGACGGAGGCGCCCGCGCGTCTCCGGCGACGCGGTTGCAGGGAAGAGGGTATCGCGCGCGCTTGGGAAGACGCGGGGAAGAGAGCGAGGCACGGAGAGAGAGAGAGAGAGAGAGAGAGAGAGAGAGAGAAAAGCTGCTAATTATACGGCGAGGCAGCCTGACTGATTAGTCGTCGGCATAAGCGAGCGGTTACATTACAGCGAGCCGTTTTCGATGATGGATTACACTCCCCCGGAGCTACTTTCGAGAACGACCTCCTGGACTACGTATAGACCACCGACGGCATCCCCGTGCGCTCTTTCTTTCCATCTTCCGCTCTCCCTTTCTCTCTCTCTCTCTATCTCTCTCGGAGGGATACGCGCGTCTCTCTCGCTCGGCCGCGCGGCTAACTAATTAGCGCTCCCGACGCGTCCCCGTCATCGTCGCCTCGCGCTAACGACTGATCCCCGCGTCCGTCGGCGCGACGACGGCGACGGCGATGATGCATCCGGCTGGTGAGCGAAGCATAAAAAGAACGGCGCGACGATCAATCTCCGGACGAAAGTATCGCGCGGTCGCGCGGGAGAGCGGCCGATTACGTCCTGCAGAACAAACACGACCGACCGATCCATCCTGCGCGCGCGCTCTTCTTCGTCCTGCTCCTCCTCCTCCTCCTCTTCGGCGTCTCCCTGCTCGCGCATTGTTAGCATTCCGTGCCGAGCGTGTAACCGCTCATCTTCCCGGCTCGTCCTCCCCTCGTTCGTTAACGCTCGCGTAATTGTTTCCCCGCTAAACGAACAGTCGCGGCGGGAGAGGGAGAGGGGCGGGGCGGATGAGGGGGAGGGGGCGGGAAAAAAACACGGATGTGTATGATTTCACGGCGGGACGAAACGAGAATACAATTATAACCTGTTAACCGTCCGCCAGATCTAACTATATAATCACGGCGCCGCGCGCCACGCCGTGCCACGGCGAGAGATCTCGTCCTTATTATCCTGCGCGTCCGCGGGAACGAACGACGCCGCGGCTCGACAAACATTCGCCGTCCGCCGTTCGCCGCGGCGTACGTGCCGCACAATAGAAATCGCAACATAACGCTCGCGCGTATACTTTTCCTCCCGGCCATTTTTCTCGCGGTGTCCCGCCCGGATAAATAATTCCTTATCCGGCGCGCATCCTTACGAAGGAGGCCACGCCGGGGCGCCTCGCGGTATTCCCCGCACGGTCGCCGATCCAGCGGGGGAAGCCGCGAGAAATCATATCTCATGCACACATCGCTGTACACGTGCTTTCTCCTCTCCCCTCCTCCCCCCCCCTCCCCCGCCCGTGCCGCTATCTTCCTCCCCCGGGCCGAGTGTGCTTTCCATTTCTCACGCACGTCCCACGGATAAGTAACAATTATCCTCGCACAACAGGCACGTCGCGCGTTCCCTCGCGAGACAATACGTGCGCGCGTGCGCGCACGCGCTGTGTACACGGAATCGCCGCAACGTGCAATCCCGGTGAGCGACGAGCCCGTATGTGTGTGTGTGTGTGTGTGTGTGTGTATGTGTGTGTGTGTGTCTCGTTCGGTCGTCGCGTTCGCCGACGCGACGCGACGCAGCGTTTTCTCCGAAGGCACACGGCGGCCGCGCTCGCTCCGTCTCCGAGATACGCGGCGCGTAATGACACGTCACCGGGCGCGACCTTTCAGGCGTATGAAAAGAGATTGCGATCTGCGTCACCCCCGCGAGAGCGGTCGCGTGTAACGCGCAGATAATTGCCGCTCTCGTTGTTATCGTTGCGCTCGCTCGCTCGCGCGCGCGGCAAGCTGTAATGTCGCGTACACATGTCGCCCATGTATTACAAGCGCGCGCGCGCGCGCGCGCGTGTGTGTGTGTGTGTGTGTGTGTGTGTGTGTGTGTGTGTGTACGTGGCCACATCGACCTACCGATAAATAACAATTACGGCCTCTGACCTCGTAATCATTCCAGCGGGATTTGCCCGCCGCGCCGCATGGCGCCTATCGCGCTCAGCGGCGCGGCGGTCCGGCCCTCTTAGACTCGCGACTCTCCCCCCGCCCTCTCTATCCGAGACGAGTAATCGTCGTCCGCGTCGTCAGCGTCGTGCTCGTCGTCGCCATCGGACAGGAAGCGGCGAACAAACGGCCGTTGCTTCGTTCCTTCGGCCGGCCATTCTCTCGTATGTGCGGCTCGCCGTATTACACGCACGCATGCGCACATGCACGCACGCACGCTCGCACGCACGCACTCGCTCGCTCGCTCACGCGGCCGTGAATAATTACCCCGACGATTTATCGCGACGTGATATCGCGTCATAATTTCGCTGTCTTGAGCGGCCTCGCCGCCGCCGCCGCCGCCGCCGCCGCCGCCGTGGCGAGAAAAATATCAGCCGCGTTAATAATTAACGGGCCGGCCGAAGCGCGAGGAGGGTCCGAGCTGACTCCCCTCCCCGCGTTCTCACGTTTCGACCGCGCCGCTAAAGCCGCATACACACACACACGCGGCGGCCGATTAGCGATTTTCTACGTTTCGCGACGCGCCGATTCGGCGCCATTTTTTAGCCGCGGAGCTCGCGCGGGCGTCCTTCGTTCGCGGCGCTTCGCCCTCCTCGCGCGCGCGCGCGCGTCTATGAAATTTATGAAAGCGATAGCGCGCGAGCAATTTATGCCCCGCGACGCGGGATTACGCGGGGAAATTGATCGTCGATTCGCTCGCGCGCGCGCCTCTCTCGGCTTGCCTCGTGTGATTTATGCCGAAGCTTAATAAGTGTGCGAGGCGCGCACACGGCGGCGCGTACGCGCGCCCGCGGTGACGTTGATCAGCGTTCTTATGTAATTCCGCTGAGAATAACCTCGGCGCAGCCTTCGCTGCACCCGCGAGAGGCGAGAGCGCGTCTCGCGGAATATCGTCGCGGCTGTGTGTACAGGGTGTCCTGAGAGTTCTTCACGCCGGTAAACGGAGGCTGCTGCCCTCTCCGGATGTATAGCCTTCGCAGCCTCGATCGATATATCGGGTGAGTGCAAAGTTGCGACGAAAGAGTGAGGCTCGACTTTGCCGATGATGATTTACTCGCATTCTACCAGGCAAGAGCCATTGCTCTCTCTCTCTCTCTCTCTCTCTCTAGCATCTTTGATGTAATATACATCTATGTGTACCTGCGAGCGCTGCCATAAAAGTGGACCAGTCCTTGAGGATCCCATCGGAACTTTTGCATTCGCCCGATATATAAGTCAAGATCCTTCTTGGAAGAAAGATGTGACTTACTTCTTAGGATTTCCTCTCTCTTTCTCTCTCTCTCTTGCTCTCTCCGGCAGCAGCGAGTATCAGTCGAGAGAATGAAAGCAAAGTGTAGAAAAGAGAGCGCGTCTCTCTCCGTAGGTTTATTCCTTTTCGAAGAACTTTTCTTGCGCAAGTTCTCTTCCCCTCCTTCCGCCGAGTCTCAGCTGTAATTTCGTTTCCTCCCGAGTTTCGAGAGCGCGTTAGTTCTTCGAGGAAGAACAGACCTGAACGGTCGATCAATTCAGCTGATGTTCACCGTTTTTCGGGAGCATTTTTCTCCGGAACTGGAGGCCATCTTTCAGCACCAATCGCGTCGGCAAGATCCGTCCTCTCGCACGCATTCGCACTCATAACGTTCGATTAATTCCCGAATCACACCCGACTCCCTTCCTCAGTTTCGCCCGCGAGGAATTTCCGGACACCCTGTACATGTATATGTAACGAGAATCTCGCGACTCGGCGGTGAGGTATTATTCGCTGCCGCGGAAGCCCCCCTCCCTTTCTCTATCTCCCTCCGGAGGAGTCCCGAATGGTCTCGAATATCTGGAAAGTCTCCCGATCGTTTCAAAAAGTCCCTCCGATCGTCGCGACGTTGTTCACCCTGAATAGAAAAATGAATAGGGCTCTGGTAAGGGCCTGATTATTTTTCCCTAACATTAATCAGGCCCTAGTAGGAATAGAAAAACAAGGGCCCTACAAGATGTGTAACAAATGGTTTTACGAGTCCTATAAGGCAATATTACGAGGGCCTTATAAGGAAATATTTTTATTATTGCTTGAGTAAAAATATTCGTTCTTTTCGTTCCAAGAACAGAAGAAATTTAGACTGTAATTTCTTTATTTCTTTATGACTTTGTTAGTATACAACAAGAATTTTTTATTTTAAAAATATAGCATACTTTACAATAAAATATAGCATTCCTTACGCATAAAAATCCTGCTACTGTTTTCATTAAAGTTTGCTGCGTTTCAAAACAAAGGCAGTACCAGAAAAACCCCTGGAAGAGACCAACGAATGTG